CACTCTCCCCTCGCCCGCCCCACACACACCCTCGTCTGCCCGTCCCCCCTCGTCCGTCCCAGTGAAAGTTTTAAATGTAGTGGAGCTCTGAATGCCAGCAGTGATTCTCAACCTTTCTAATGCCGCGACCCTTTAATACAGTTCCTCGTGTTGTGGTGACCCCCAACCATAAAATTATTTTCGTTGCTACTTCATAACTGTAATTTTGCTACTGTTATGAATCGTAATGTAAATATCTGATATGCTATATGTGTTTTCCGATGGTCGCGACCCACGGGTTGAGAACCGCTGGCTAAAGCTAAACACTAGACTAACGGGCATTTCACACACGTGGCAGCACGTGAAGGGCCTGTCCTGGGACAGGGATCCCATAAGCTCCTGCAATCACAGCGAGCAGCTCTCAGCTGGACAGACCGACCACGCTTATCAACAGGGTCTCTAGATGCTAATGTCCACCTCTCCCAGTCCACCCCCTGAATCGTAAGACAAGGAAACAGACTGCGTTCCTGAACCCTAACAGTGAACCAGGAACGAAAAGGCAATGCTCACTAGAGAGCCGGACAGCTACATCACATTCCTCAGACCGCCACCCGATGTTACTCTCAGCCCATGTTACCTCGGCAGCTCTCAAGGGACAACTCAAGTCTCAGCCTTTCAGGGGAAAGAAAGCAAGAACTAGGCATGGGACCAGGGGGTGAAATGAAAGAAAAATGACACATCTTCTGAGTCTCGGAGGCAGGATCCCTAAAAAGTGCCCTGGCTGCTTGGCTGTGTGACAAGAACTCGGACACCAACATCCCAAAGACCCGAGCTCCCAGGACTGAAGGACAGCGCGGAGGAAAAGGCCCAGCCGAGGCTGACTGCCCTCTGCTGGCCAACGAGCAGGACTTTTAAGCAACAGATTCGCATTTATTACCTTCATGTTATTCTTTCTGAGGTATTTCAGAACACTGACAACCCTGCATGTTAACTCGTAGAATCTTGTCACTTCTAAGTCTTCTATAAAAGTAACACGTCCAACTAGACTGATGTGACACGCAGCCATGGGCTCTGAGTTCTAATGGCTGCGTAATTACAGAGCAAGAAGGATATACTGGTTGTCCTGTGTTAATAACCCCCATCTTTATCCAAAGGAACGCCTTCTGAAATTCCAGACCACATTTTCAATTTCCTCGTGAGGTCTCCAACGGAATGTCCCACACAGGCACCATGTTTCAAGTCCTATTCCTCCCTCCTTCTTTTTTTTAAAATATATTTTATTGATTTTTTACAGAGAGGAAGAGAGAGAGACAGAGAGTCAGAAACATCAATGAGAAACACCAATCAGTTGCCTCCTGCACATCTCCTACTGGGGATATGCCCGAAACCCAGGCACATGCCCTTGACCGGAATCGAACCTGGGACCCTTCAGTCCGCAGGCCGATGCTCTATCCACTGAGCCAAACTGGTTTCAGCTCTCCCTCCTTCTTTTCTTTCTTATTTAAAGGTCAGAAACTCCCTATGACCAGTATGAATATTACACTGCAATGAGAATATTTCTAAAATAATGAATAATCCGATAATACTGTTTTCCTGCTTAAAATACTCCAATGGCAAATATCTCCTTCATGACCAGGTCCAAGCATCCAAGTGTGACAAACACGAACGCCAGGAGCAGACCAGAGCTCCCCCGCCGCCTCCTCTCTCTCATTCCTTTCTCCTCGTAGACTGTGACCGTGCACAGGACAGCTTCCTCTCTCCCCACAGCCATCCTCTCCCAGCCTCCTCCTCCAGGCCTCCGTCCCATCCTTGGACCACATCACCTGAGTTCTTTAAGATCAACACAGGCAGCACTTCCCCCAGTGCCACAGACACACTCACCACGTCGAGACGCGGTGCGGCTCCCGTGTGGGTACCAGTGCGCTGTATCTGACTCCACCACCACAGGCATCCAGTGAGGGCAAATACCTTGAACTTCCTCACTCGCCAGGAGGAAAGGATTTGTGCCTCTGAATATTTTAGTGTTTGGCACTTAGCTAGTATCCCATCAATGTTTCTGGTACAATCAGGTGTCTAGTGCCCAGTAACACCACTGAACAAACAGTGAAAATGAGCCACATTATGGGCTTTAGAGCATTTACATGAAGACCCTTCTGTCATCCTTAGCTTTAAGCCAAATACATTTGGGAGAAAAATATACCGTCTTTTGATGGCTTGTTCCCAAGCATTACTCAGCCCTCCAACAACTATCTCATCCACTCACTGCCATGAAGCTGCCACCACACATGATATTGGAAATGAAAACATATGGGGACGGATAAATTACAATATGCCAATGAAACGTGTAGAACATCTGAAGACATGGATCAGATGGACACATTATGTCATTATCTAAAAAAGCAGATTAACAGAAATATTACTTGCTGTACTATGAATTTTGTAAAAATGTGATAGGATGTGGATAACTTTCTACAATAAACCTATTATTTTTGTGAAAATAAACATTTTAAATATAATAAAAGCCTAATATGCAAATCGACCAAATGGCAGAATGACTGGTTGCTATGATGTGCACTGACCACCAGGGGGCAGATGCTCAACGCAGGAGCTGCCCCCATCCCGCAGCCCCAGGCCAGTCAAGGTGGGTGCCAGCGGGAGGGGAGGCGATGGCTGGTGGCGGAGGGGTGTGGCGCCAGCGCCAGACTGGCCAAGGCCCTGCCGGTGGCCCACAGATCGGCCCTGATTGCCGGCCAGGCCTAGGGACCCCACCCATGCACAAATTTCATGCATCGGGCCTCTAGTTTTAAATAGAAAATTTTCTATTACAGAACCAGGGGAGGAATGCTGACATAAATGCCTAAATAGAAACAGTTTGAGGAGCCAAAAGGGTTATGTGCCAGGGAAGAGCTGACAGTGAAGGACCCGCTGGAAATACAGGAAGGAGACAGAAGGGACTCCAGACACGAGATGAGAAAGGCCAGGCTTCGGAACGCCTGTTAGGCATCTGAGCGGAGCCAGGCTTTGGAAGCAGGACAGTCCCATTTCACATAACATGAGGCAAATGCTGCTTTTAACCCTCTGAGTGCCAACCAGTATCCTAGGAACTATGCTAAAATTGCCAAGGCATTTTTGCTGATTTTACAGCAGTTTAGGAAAAAAATTATGAATCGCAAGTAAATGAAGTTACATATTCAAAAACTTAAGGAAACCTTTACTACATTGACATATTTAGCAATATCATCATCACTAATAAAAGCAGACTTAGAACTGGACGCCATTTTGAAGCTTTGGTAGCGCTCCCAGCACTTTTGGCGAAAGACAGGAGCGGGATCGCGCTCCCCGGCACTGTAGGGGTTAAGACCCAAATGTGTCCTTTCTCCGTGATGGCAGCAGACAGAAACAGCAAGCTGTCTCGTACCCTGGGAAGGTCAGCACAACATGCTCCAAACCACTGGACTCCTAGCAGGGCACCGAGACGCAGACCCTGCGCTTGTGGGGTGCTCCCCCTGGCATGCATGCATCTCACCAATGTCCAGATTGTTGCCTCTCGCTCACTAGTCCCAATAGCTTGGTATCAGCATTTGCATTCGCATAATGCCCTGGAAGGAGAGGCTATCCAGGTCTGGAAGACTAGCTTATGACAGCGGCCTGACTGAGAGATGGTTAGTGAAGGTATATTGCTGAGCCTGCCAGTCGAAAGCATCTAATTCTGACGGTCTTTACTGGTAAGAAGAGAGGGAAAAGCACGTGCCAGACCATACCTGCACACCAGGTGCCAGGGGCTGCCCTGACTTGCTCTAGCAGCAGCCACAGCTGAGCACTCACTGCAATGGAAGCCACACCCGGGTAAGCTTATATGAGCAATCACCATCCCTGAGAGACACCTGTCGTCTTTACTGCCCCACAGGTGAGCTGAAGGGCTGTGGTCGGAATCACCACTGCAGCACCTTTCCCACCGCCAATGCGGCTCTATAACCTCCTGGGGGAACAATTTCTCATTTGGTGGTTAGGCCACATTCTAGTGGCTCTGCTGGGCTCTCTCTCATTCCCACTCAGGAGCCCACGGAGAGAGCTCTAGTAGGCGTTAAGTAAGTCTATTCCAATCATGCATCCAGAAACATGGAAGCAAGCACCTCCACCTACTGGGAGATGGGCCTCAGCCCAACCCATGGACAGATGGCACACGGTGGTGCTTGGGTCCCCGAGAACTCCTCAGGCCCAGTGTCCAGCAATCCCTAGTCTAGTAATTGTCCCTGCGATGCCCAGTCACTCCAGTAGCCGGCTGTGCGTCTTGGGCAAGGCGAGGAGGAGACGCACGGCAGACGTGTGGGTTGGACAGCCGGGTCTTTCCTCAAGAGGACCTGGCTTTCCCATCATTCAAGGTCTCTGGGTCCAGGAACTGGCTTAAGTCCATGGATGGGCTGAGGGGCTCTAACTCCGATATCTGCTGACCATTGCAGTAGCTACACCTAGTTAGGCTTTAGCAATTAAGAGCCACCAAGATTCTACCACTCCCACCGACTTTAGGATACTGGTTTGATGGCAACCATTTCTGTCATTAAAGAGAACAGCCACCAAAACCCCAAAGGATGCTGAGGTGCCCTCATGAAGGTGTCTCTCCGAGCTCTGTGGGAAAGAACAGCTGAGGTACGTGGGAAAACAAGCCGGCAGATTCGATCTTCATAGACAAGCTGGATTCAGGTACACAGGAGAGTGAGGATTATGTGAGACTGCTACAAAGAATGCACAGAAATAAAAAGCTGAGAGAACGAGCCTCAGTTTGACTAGAGATGGAATATAGGGAGAAATACAAAGTAAGTATTAAGTAGGAGTAAAGTTCAAGGAGATACATACCTTACAACCGGACAGAAATTTAGGTTTTATAAAATAGGCAAAGGGAAATTTTCAGAAGCATCTGGCAGCAAATGTGTGCAAGGCAGGATAAACTATCTGCATGAATTGCTTCGCTTCGGCTGGCTTTGCTGACGTGAAAAATAAAGTAGCAGGCATTCCGTCCCTACCTCACTCCCAGGCCCAGCCTCCAGGGGTCTCTTCCTCCGCGGCCCAATGGCAGCCAGGGCGGTGAGGTTCGCATCTCGCTGCTGGATCTGTGCGAGCTCCAACTGCTGCAGCTAGAAGATGGGAGGAAGAAAGACAACGTTTACACACAGTGCTCAGAGGGAGAGGAGCTGGTCATGGCGCCTACTTCTGTCTTCGTCACATATTTAAAAAGAGCAGATGGAAAATAGGAAATAGTGCATGTGTCTGGTGAGATAGGTAGTCTCCGGGAGACACAACGAGAGGTCACTCAGATTAACGGAGAATAAACCACAGGTAACGGAGTCGTAAGTAAAGCAGAAAACATTTAACTAAAGAAAACTAAGAACCATTTTCTATTTGTTCCACAAATGACAGGAGAGCAATCCTTCTTTTAAAATGTGTTTGCTTATATATATATAAACTAGAGGCCCGGTGCATGAAATTCATGCACTGGAGGGGGGGGGGGGTCCCCTCAGCCTGGCCTGCCCCCTCTCATAGTCCAGGAGCCCTCAGGGGTGGGAGGGGACCCGGCGTTCAGGGGAAGGTGACGCCCCATCACACCTCTGCTTCTGCCACAAGATGGCCGGCAGGGGAGGGCAGTTGGGGGGTCCAGGCCTGCAGGAGAGTGCAGTTGGGGACAACCGGGCCAGCAGGGGAGGGAAGTTGGGGGCAATCAGGCCGACAGGGGAGCAGTTAGGTGTCGATCAGGCTGGCAGAGGAGTGGTTAGGGGGTGATAAGGCTGGCAGGCAGAAGCCGTTAGGGGTAATCAGGTAGGCAGGCAAGCGTTTGGGAGCCAGCAGTCCCAGATTGTGAGAGGGATGTCCGACTGCTGGTTTAGGCCCAATCCCTGGGATCCCAGATTGGAGAGGGTGCAGGCTGGGCTGAGGGATACCACCCCCCCTCCCGTGCACGAATTTCATGCACTGAGCCTCTAGTCCTTTCTATAAACAAAAATCCAAAATTCTTCAAGGTACAGGTTTTCTAATCTCTTATGCGTTTTAATCATTCAATACTGATTCTTTTGCCCCGTTTCTACAGGTTGCACTGTGACACAAACATGTCAGCAGGTATATGTCCTGCCTTCACTTTTCTTCCTTCTAGTCAATAACAAATGAAAGTGGGAATGCTAGGACCTGTTAAAAAGGAAGTGAATTCTCTGTCTCACTCTGCACCGTTGCCCTGAAGTCACATTTCTCGATGGAGAAAGAAGACATTCAAGAGGAAAGAGGGTTATAGTGTAGATAACAAATGTGCAAGAGGAGTCAGGACGTTTGCGCTCCAAGGTCAGACGGCTGCCCTGACAACTCTGGATGGTGGGGTGAGAAAGGGAAACATGAGGGCTGGATGGCCATCGAGGGCACCGCACACACTCGGACACGTCTGCAGCTGCATGTAACAAGGACGTGCCTGCTGTTTGAAACTGGAATTTGGCAATTAGGAATCTATTAGAAACCTTTCTCAAACAAGGAGGGAAATGGAAGAATGTCAGTGCTTGCATTTTAGGAAAGGTATCTAGGAAAAAGACTTTTAAGTCCAAATTTTAAAGTGTCAGTATTTAAAATATAATGTTACAACTGAAAGAACGCTTATATTTTTTCAGGCAGAAATGGAAAAAGGGCCCTAACCGGTTTGGCTCAGTGGATAGAGTGTCGGCCTGCAGACTGAAGGGTCCCAGGTTCGATTCCGGTCAAGGGCATGTACCTTGGTTGCGGGCACATCCCCAGTGGGGAGTGTGCAGGAGGCAGCTGATCGATGTTTCTCTCTCATCGATGTTTCTAACTCTCTATCCCTCTTCCTTCCTCTCTGTAAAAAACCAATAAAATATTAAAAAAAAAAAAAGAAAGAAAGAAATGGAAAAAGGGAAGAAGCCCTAAAGTTGAAACAGGGATATCCAGACATGTTAGCCCCACAACAATAAGGTTTCCAAGCAGACAGGTAACCCGCCGGGTCCCTGAGGACAACAGGCAGGGAGCGGTGTCAGTGTACTGGGACAGCTGGAGGCAAGCCCAGAGGCAGCGGTTTTCTTAAAGTGCCAGATGAGAACGCCCACACTGGGAGAAGTCACTAGAAGGATGACAAACATTTGATAAGAACGTGCCAAATGTAAGTTTGCCCTGATGTCCAGAATGCAAAGAAGAAATGACAGCCTCTGCATGAGAGAGAGGGGCCCACAGGGGAGAAGAGCCAGATCGGAACTCTCATCCTCACCAGGCGAAAGCACACATGGACCATGCATGACCTTATGCACGAGGGGATTCAAGCTGTGACTTAATATTTATGTGACAGACATCATTGCTGACACACTTCCTGGCAACAATCAAGCTGCAACTTCTCTACACAGCTCTAGAGTCCTGTGTTCAGAAAACGCAGTCACTAACCTGTTTCCTAGGCCCGCCTGGTAGATAGGTGGAAAAGGAAAGCAGGGCAGCTCTAAATCAAGGAACTCTAGAAATCTGTGCCAATTTTCACAAATGAACAAAGAAAATGTGTGCCCCCCCCCCACAAAAAAAATATCAGAAACTAAAGCTTTATGCTCCATACCATGGTGATAACCATGAGCACATCCCAAATGATAACCTGACAAATGGCCAACTCCATTTTATTAAGGGAGGGTCGGTGATTTCTGCAACTAAACAAGTATGGTATCCCTCTGTGCTGGACTCTAAATTAGGCCCCTCAGAACATTGAAGTCAGTAAGAGCTCTGGGGGTCAGGGGAAATGAAATGACAATATTTTACTTTATCAAACATTTGCAACTAACACAGAGTGGCTCTGTTCTTGGAATGGGGCCAGTGTATTTGATTTTTTTTTTTCAATCAAATGGATCCAAGATAGAAAACTTTCAAAATATTTTGGAAAGAAATTATATTGAATCCATTTAATCTTGCTAGGAAAAGGAACTGAATGAAGGTGGCAAGGGAGAGGGGAAACACAGGCTTGGTACCACCTGCTCTCATTAAGAGACGTACTGTTTGTTCACATTTACTCTTACAAATTAGAAATAAATGCTGCCTACCAATTCATCTCTCAGGAAATAATTGTATACAATATAAAACACAAACAATAAAACAAACAAAACCATCCCACAGAAACCGCAGGAAAAATTAATCTCAGATTCAGATGTTTATGAAGGAGGAACAGGCAGGTAAGATCTTTAAGGATAAAAGGGTGAGTTTTATGATACATTATTTTCCAAAACAGGATTACAATGAAAAGAAAGTACATAAGCATCTTATCAATTCTTAATTAAAACAAAGAGGGCTACTACCCTTGGCTCAGAGCAATAGCTGCCCATCCTCAGATAATCTATCACCCAGCCAAGCTTGCTGATAAAGGATTACAGGTACAGTTCTCATCATACTTTCTTCAGATACTATTTTTACATAAGTTTCCCACTGGAAAGACATGAGCATGGGAAATGTTTTGCTGTTGAAATGAAATGTTTCTGGTTTCGATTCTCTTTACTGTTCTCACCCCAATCCAGAAGCCCTGCCATTCAGAGCTCATGTGCTTTCCTTCTCTACTTGAGTGTAAAAGCCCACCCTGACTGTAAGATTTTTACTAGATTTCCATTTGTTTTGCCTCAGCTCCTACATTAATCCACACAATCAGGGCCTTTAAAACCTTCATGAATAACCTGCTGCTGCTGGCCCCTCGGAGCCGCGTGCAGCGATGTTGAGCAACAACAAATTTCATAGTTCAAGAGGCGCAGTTAAGGAAAAGGTGGCTCAGGAAGTCACTCTGATTTAGCACAAAGATCCTTAAAATTCCATGAAATCAGTCAAGTAACTATAGAAACCAATCTCTTCAGCTTCATATCACACGTCTCACACCTCGATTGTCTGTCTTATTGTCTGCTGTCAGATCCTTAATCAGAAATGTGAACGGGCTGGGTGATTTATTCAGCAGGGAAAAGAATCTGTAGGTCAAGTGAAAAATTTCACACACACACACACACACACACACACACACACACACACACGCACGCCAGCTTCAACCTCAGGTACTTTCATTTCCTTCTGTTCTCTGCAGCTCTGGGGGCAACTCCAGTGAGATCCAATATTAAGGCTCAATTAAAATAAGCTCCAATTAGTGGAGCTTTTTTCTCTGGGGCTAGAAAAGTCAGGAAATGGATATTGGGAAATGTAAAAAGTCAGCTACTGAGAGGAGGCTGCAGACATAAATGAACTTATTTGTTGATTTCTACAGTTGCTATGCAGAGGCCTCTGGGAGTAAAAGCTTAACCAGTCTAAGCTATAAACTAAACCCCTGCAGCTAAACATGAACTGTGTGAAACAAGGGCTCCATTCCAGAACAGAAAACTGCTGGGCCCAGAAAATTAAAAGCCAGAGGCGTTTTCCATTTAAAACTAAATCCCAGTACCGCCTCCCAGCCAAAGAATTATAAGCAGTATCAGATTTACAAAACGAACAATTACCCTGGAAAAATGTAGCCTATTGTACAGTCCCAGATGCTAAATCTCAGAAGTTACTTTTCCCCCTTAATCCCACATTATTTCCCTCCGAGTGTGCTGCTGGAGTTCACAAAGAGCCCTTCTAGGCAGGCCTGTGCCTGGAAGCAAATGTTAAAAGGAGAGCAAGCACATCCTCACTGACCTCATTCGAAGCGCTGCCCTTGCCCTCGGCGGCTCCCGTCCTCCCAGGGCCTCTGCACATGGCATGCACGGCCAAGGCAGCCCTGACTCCATGCCAGGGGAGAGCTGCCAGCCGCCCCCCACACAAAGGCAAACGCGGGAACTCGGAAGTCCTACCTCCTTGGCTTTCTGCTTCAGTCTCAGCTGCTCTGGGTCTTCTTTATTGGCACGGCTCTACCAAAGGAAAAGAAAATTTAATAGAAATTACAAGCATCTAAACACCATAGCTGCCGTTAAATATTTAATAAATGACAATTTTCTCTTGTGATTGAAAACCTGAGCTCCAGGGGAAATGCCTCAGTCTAGTTCTGTGCACTCTCCCTC